AACTTTAAACACAAAAAAAAAAAAATTATCAATTTTCACTATTTAAAAAATTTTAAATTTTTACTATCAAATATTTAAATAATGTAACAATAAAATATATAGAAAAATTTCTTAAATCTTAAAATGTTTGATGATTGCGTGGTTTAAAATCAAAATAGTTTGAATGTATTCGTGTATAAAATGCATAAATCTTATATAAAAAAAAACCGTTTTTGAATAAAAAAAAAATTTACTGTGTCAACTTTGATATTTAAATTATTAATTTTTTTTTATCAAATTTATATAAAATATACACAGACTGATTTATGTTAGTTAAATTGAGTTCATGTTTACAAGAGAAAAGATGACACATTTCTATCAATATTAAGCCAGTTAGATTATTCATTTATGTATGTTTGGTAAGATATGTGTATGAAAGTATACACGTAGCATAGTTATATGAATTTCATAAACTATATAATAAAAATGTTAATATGATACTAAGCTACTAAAGCTATCATATAAGCATATTAAAATTGTTTTTTCTTTTGTATGTCTCGTAAAAGTCATAATGCAAACATTTATGTTATAGCAATACTTTATATATAAAATTTATTGTTCATACTTAATTATTTTATGCTGCTGTGTACATACATACATATTTATGTTGTTTCTAACAAATTTATATAAAATACGTAGTTGTATTAATGTCAGTTCTTTTTTTATCCCTCTATATATGAAAGTTATACTTGTAGATATTAATTTTTATAACTACGGTTTATGTTAGACATAATTAATCTTTATGCCTAATTTCATATCCTAACCTCAATTTCAATAACATTTTCCAATTTAATTTTTAACGGAATAAAATTCAATTAAATTGGCCTTAATATGAATTTTAACTAGCGCAAAACATACAGTTCAAACATGCTTCATACATTTTGTTTGATAAGAATGAAATTCTGTTCTATTTTCTCTATCAAACATATTTCAAAGACTAATCAAATTTTCATTAAATTTTGTTTGAAATCAAACAAAACTGATGATCATCAAACCAATTACTCATAATTAATGTACATTGTAGTTGCTCTCAAACTGAATTATAATGACATTTCTGCTCAAAAATGCTCTTTGTTCTTAACAAAATTCTGTCATTTACCTAGTTACGAATTACATAGTGAGCTTGCTGGTAAAAGTATGGTGAGAGTTTATTAACCATAAAATACAAAAATCAAAACAAAATTTTAAAACAAAATTTTTAGCCTTTTATTATTGTCACAGCAATCACGTGTTTTGTTGTATAACAACAATATTTTTCGCTTATATAAGAAAAGTCTCTTTAAGCTCTTTGTCTAGCCATTAAATTTAAAATTGATTTTTCATGTTTTTTTTTTTATTTTTTCTCTATAAAATTAATTTCTTCTTTTTTGCTTTTTAAAATTTATTATTAATTTCTTTAATTAAATTGAAAATTTTTCAATCTAAAAAATAATAAAAATACAAAAAACATTTCATCTTCCATTTTGTTTTTAATATCATTCGCATGGATAAATAAATTTAAATATTAAAATCTATATTATATTTTGTCTATTGAAAATATACAAAAAAAATGGCTAAATTTATGCTATTAAAATTAATATAGAGTAGCAAAAATTTTATTATTATAGCGTAATAAAAATATTAATAAATAGAAATCTATTGAAGAAAAAAAATCGAGAAAAACAAGCAAATAATCTTGAATAATAAAAAAAAAGCGTTTGTAACGTTAAAAACACTTAATTTAAGGTTAAAGACTTTAAGTGTCATAATTAATTTTTCATTGATTTTGGAAAAAAAAAAATTTATTTAAAAACAAGTATGCATACAACATGTTGTATGTGGATAATGTTGATAAGATAATGTAGATTGATACAACATAACGACAACTTGGTATTCCAACAACAGGTTTGTTGGAATACGAATTTTCTATTAATATACTAATAATTTTGTCGCTTTTTCATTTAATTTTTTAGTTTACTAGATTTTTATCCAAAAATTTTCTTAAAGAATATAAAAAATATGACAATATTTTAATATGTCATGCTCGATGAAGTTTTTGACATTTCTAATTAGATTTATTGTTAATTTCGCCATACTAAAACAATTGATAAAAACGGCATCGTCACCTCTTATTTGTTCTAAAACAATATAATGCATGAAACAGAGCCGAACTCCTTTGCTCTGCATCCATCTCCTTAGCTTTGTTTCATGCATCATGTATAGAAAACACAGCAAAAGAGATGGGTCACCGTCTCCTCCTCCTCCTCCTCCTCATCTAAGCAGCTCTTAGAGAGATCATTGACAGGACCGCCCATCCTCCTGTAATGTTCGTCAATAAGACAATATCCAGTTGTTACCCATACCACAACTCCAATATTTCTCCGACGGAGAAACTTCAGATCCCTGATACGACACAAATCTAACTTAAATCTAAATTCTTCGGTTGCGTTGCATGTAATTCCGTTCGCCCATTTACCTTGCTAAATTCCTGATTAACTTGCTCATTTGCCGCGTCTCGTAGTATACGTACTTCGAAGATATTACGAGGTCCTCCTTTTCATATTCTAAAAAGGTTCTGAAAATAATTTCTTATTACTTTATTCCGGAAAATTAAATCCTCTTGTTAAACATTCTTATTCATTTTCAGCACATCCACTCTTTAAACGTTTTAAAAGCAAAATTTCTGTCAAATACATTTTTTTTTTGTCAAATAATAAGCCGATTTTTAATTTTGGTTTATTATAAAATAGAAATTGATATATTACCAAATTTTATTCTTACCTAATAGACTTTAATAGAATATTTTAATAATATTTATGTTTTAAGTATGTTTCGGAATCATATATAGAATTTAAAAAAAAAATTTAATTTTAATATTTTTAACATTTAAATGCTATAAAAAAAATATAATAAGACTCTAAAAATTCTAAATTTATAAAAAAAAAAAATTTTTATAGCCGTGTATGTAAATATAATATTCTTAATAAATGGACTGACTCTCTTATAAATCTTAATAATAATTCTAAATTATTTTTGTTCTTTTGGTTATATAGTTGGAATTTTTATATACTAGTTTTTATATATGATTTTAATTAAATTATTTACCGTTATTCAAATATTATATTTGTTTATGGTTATTCATATTAAGTATTATGTAAATGTTTTTATTACTTCATTTTCGAAATCAATTTTGTACAAAAAAAAAAAATATAAAAATAATTAGGTGCTAAAAGAAAACAAAAATAGAATCATAAGTTTATAATATTCTAGATATATGAATATGCAAATAATAATAATAATAATAAAAAAAATAATTCCTAAAAGTATGGAACTAGATTTTCTAACTTCGGCATTATACGATGTCCATTTTCACTTTATAAATTTTAATGCCTACATTAAATTGGTATATAACCGCGTAATAATTGTTTGTATTAGAGCAGTAAATCAACTTTTCTCTTTTCTAATTCACCAAAAATAAAAATTATATTTTTATTATTATTATTTATGCAAGAATTTATTATAAAATTAATGAAAATAAAAAAAAAAATATATAATTTGTAAATTAAAGTAGAAAAAGTAGAAAAATAAATAAAACAACTTGTTTTTTTTTTTATTTTAATATTTTTAACATTTTTAATAATAAATTGTTTTATTATACATAATTTGATTATAATTTATTTCTGACACCTTATTTATAATATTAATAATAATAATTTAATAAAGTGTGTATGCCTTTCAGACATTGTTTTATTATATTATACCTAGTTTGGCAAAATGTATGCCTTATAACATAAAAGTATATTTTTTTTGGAACTAGATTTTCATATTCTATATTTTTATTAGATGATTTTCCAGTAATAGTTATAACTATATAATATAATATATATAATTAAATAAATATAAAAATCAAAAAAAAATTTTTGATAAATTGGCAATAGATTTTTAATTTTCATTAATATTGTCCTGATCTTAGATATAATCACGATAAGAATTATAATTTCAACACTATAAATTGCTTACGTAAGATGAAAATGTATGTTATATTAGGTACTTATATTATTTTTGTGTGTATATTCAAATTTTATGTTGAAAAAATAAGGAAATTTAAAATTTATTACATTCTTTTGTATTTCATTTAAAAAAAAATTTTAATTTATTATTAATATTTTCTTTCGATTTTACATAAATTATTAAAGTGAATTTTCTTGTTTATATACACATATAATTTATATTTTGATCACATGAAATCATTAATGATTAATTAATTGAAATTTTTCATATTTTACTAAATTTTTCTATATTTTAAATTCATTTCAAAAATTCTTAATATTAGGGAATTAAAATGAACAAATAGAGTTGTGCATTACGATATATTAAAGGTATACTACCTAATTTTAAATAAGGCACGCATTTAAAATTTAAATATTTTTAAAAAATTTTCAAAATTTTTATCTCAATAATAAATAAACAGGCAATGTAGTTAATTTTCCCTTTATTGAGCTATAAAATAATATTTCAACGAAACTGGTATTATACTTTTAATATTTACATTCGATGCAATTATCGTAATTACATTTCTTTTAGAATTTGACAAGCAATTTATTTTTTAATAATTAATTTTCTAAATCACACGACAAATTATTATTATATCATTTGATTGAGTTGAATTGAACAGTATTACAGATTGAGTGTGTTTAATTAATGGCATTTACAAAATAATATAAAAATATTACTGAAAGAGAGTGAGTAAAATAATAATGAGTAGGTTTTATCGATAATCGAGAGTCGATTATCGAAATATGCATAAGAAATGATAAATTACAACATTTCATAATATGATCAGTACAAAAGAAGTAGCATTTTGCATTTTCTCTAATTTTTAAAGTGTTTTTAAATAAATTTCTATTAATAATAATAACTAATTTAAAACCAATTAACATAATTATTAATTTTCCTTTCCTCTTTTTTCTTTTTAATTTTAGATTTGCATTTTAATTGTTTTAATTGAATCAGCTCCAGCGAATAATGGCAAGTATATAAGACATCGAAATGAAGGAAAATATATAGCGACAAACGAAGGTATACACATGCATATACCGAGATAATAACGTCAAATTTTTTTATTATTTATACATAAAAACACAATTAATCAAAATTTAATTGAAAATTTTTTTTTGATTCTTTTGCACAAATTATCATCAAATTTTTTTGCACGCTTTTTATGCGTTTAAAATTAAAAAATTTTTTTTTTGAAATTTTTTGGACTAATCAGATGAGATATAGGAAAAAGTGTTTTTTGTCACGTTCTTTTTGGTATATTATTGTAAAATTTATTGTCGTCGTATATTGACATCGGAAAATTATATGATTTAGATTAATGATGGGAAAACGCAATTCAGTTTTATTAAACGATGCAATAATATTTAATAAAATTTGAATTTTCATCAGCTTTTCTAATAACTTTCCGATTATTGATTTTTTTATATTTTTTTTTTTATATATAAAAATGGTTGCAGTTAAAATTTTCAAAAAGCAAACATTGACTAGAAACTGCATAGATTTCTAATATGAAGTTTATTGTACTGTGGCAGTTCCTTATGTTTTGCTTGAGTTTTGAAAATTTTACTGCCCCAATTTAATATGAAATTTTATATACTGGTTTTGGTTCTAAATATAAATACAATGTCTAAAAAAATTTTGAAATTATAATTTATTTTCTAAATTCTAATTATTTTATATTTGGCTTTACTATAGCACAAAATTCTAAATTTTCTATTTATATAAACATTGTATATATTTAATTTAATATTAACTACGAGTATCTTTAAAATTTCAGTAAAAAATAAACTATTAATTTAATTACATTTATATATAATAGGAAAATATGTTCATAAAAAATATCCTTATGTTCATGTTCCTGATTACCGTGAACTTGGAATATATAAGCATATTCATATTCCATATGATGGAGGTTATGGTCCATATTCCGGTTTTAATATCCCATATATTCATGATGGCTTAGGAGATTTCAGGTATTTTTAAAAATTATTATTATTATTATTTAAGTTTCTTTATGTTTATTTTTAGGTTAAAATGAAAATTATTTTACAAACAGGAAACGTTCTTAAGAATTGCTTTGCAATATATAGAAAACAGCAACCGTTAATAAAAAAATTTCATAAAACAATATTATGCTTGATTTAATCAATGAAATTTTTGAATGCTATAACTTACATCGCATCATTGCCTTTCTTCAAATTGTCAAGCATTTTATCCAATCATTATGCCAGTCTTCCATTATTAGTTACTGCCAGTCTTCCATTTATTAAGCATTTCTAAAATAAATTTAAGTGGAAATTGTGATTACTTAGGCTTTTTTAAAACTATATTCTAAGAAAATTCAAGACAATTACCTACTAGTGTCAAGAGCAAATTTCAACACTTTTTAACAAAAAAATTGTATATTTTTTAATTTTACATTAAAATTACCTTAATTAATGAAAAATTTTCAAAAGAAAGACATATATTCTTATTTTTTTTATTTTTAAATAACCAATTACCATAAATCACTTGAATTTTTCGCAATTCACCATATTTTTTAATCAAATATAATCGAAAACATAAATGAAATTCACAAAATTTATGAGAAATCTAAAAAAAAAGATTTCGTTCAAAAATCAAGCAAACAACTCCATTTTAAGAATTTTCAAATTATTTAGAAATTCCAGAAATAAATTTTATTTACGAAATGTTAATGGAATGTTCAATTTTCCAAATGAAATATTTAAAAAAAAAGAAACACTAATAAAGAAAATCATAATTTTTACATAAATAGTAAATTAGTAATAAATCAACTTAAAAGAACATTAAATATAATTTTTAATATCAATTTTGAAAAAAAAAACAAAAACCTACGTTGAAATAATTAATTTAATTTGGATTTTTATGATTTTAATATTTAAATCAAATAAAATTCCAAAATGATTTAATAATAACAATTTTCCATACATATACAAATTATTATCTAAAAAAATATATTATAATAAAAAATAATATAAATAAATAAAAAAATAATAATTAAAAATTTTATTAATTAATTTAAATTTTTTTTTGTTTTTTCCATTTTAGTTCATATTCAGTAAGTAGATCTGATCAAGATCATCCTTTCAATAATCAAATATATGATATACCTGTGCCTGATGTACTCTTGGAATATGGTTTTCCTGAAATATCTTCAAATATCCGTTCCGCAAAAAAATCTACAATTATTGATCCTAATATTGAAATTCCCGATTCACCTTCATCTTTATATTTACCTTCATCTTCATCTTCATCTTCACCTACTACTACTACTACTACTACTGAAACTGAAAAATTAAGATCCTCAACTTCTTTAGAATACCTTCCTTCCCTTATAGAAAATATTGATAATAATGATAATAATATTAAGTAATTAAAGAAAAAATAAATTAATTAATTTTATAAATTTTAATTTAAAACAAAAAAAAAAATATCAAATTTATATAATAAATAAATATAATTCAAATTATCCTATAAGTATTTGTATAAATTGTAAAAAAAAAAACAAGACAAAATTTTATATAACAAAACTTTTTTTTCGAAAATAATTAATTATTTTAAAAATATAACTATTGAAAAGAAACAAAAAAAAAAACAAAAAAATCTCAAATGTGCATCTCAAAACAAAAATTTATTTATATTTATTTATAAAATAAGTAAATTAACTATATATGCTATTAAATATATTAAATAATTTTTTTTTTTTGGTGGTAAATAGTTAGTTATTTGCCCGCGCATGCGTGTATATAAAACTAAACTAAAAAAAAAAAAAACTAAAAAATTATTATCCAGAATTTGTTACACTTTTTGTGATTCGCAGACTACTACAACACCAAAACCAACTACACCTAGAACAACGACAACAACAACACGCCGTCCAACCAAACCATATGATGATGAAGGAAAATGGAAAGTTATATACCATGATCAAGAAAAGAATCAAAAGAAATATGATTTTTCGTAAGTCTTAAAATTAATTAAATCCAAAAAAGAAAAAAAAAACTTACAGATTTATTTGTAAGGCGTTGAAAACTAAAATAATTAAAAAATCAATTACACAAATTTTATAATTAATTTTAAATTTTAGATATTTAACTGAGAATGGTATTTATCAAGAGGAACAAGCAAATACAAAAAAAGAAACAGGAACTAATTCAAAAGGCTATTATGAATATATTGGTGATGATGATAAAGTTTATCGTGTCTATTATAGTAGTGGTGATCAAGGTTTTGTTGCTATCGGTGATCATATACCAACAATACCACCAGAAATTAAAAGAGCTTTAGAATATGTTGCTACTAAAAAAACTAAAACTAATAAGAGTAGTAATAACTCTGGGGCAAATAACTAAAAATCATAATATACACAGTCCAAAATAAATCATATACACTGAAAAAAAAAAAAAAAAAAAAATAAAACATAAAAAATTTCCTTCCAAAAATGTATTAAAAAACTCATAAAAAAAAAATAGAAAAAAAATAATATGTAAAATAATTTTTATTTTTAGAAAAATTAAAATTTAAATTAAAAATATTTTAATTTCTTTAATGAAATTTTAAATATTTTTAAATGAAAAATTCAAAAATGTAAAAATGGTAATTTTAAAAAAAAATCTTTGTATTTAATTTTAATTTTAGACTATTTTTATATACTTACATATTTAAAAATTTCAAAAAACAAAAATTGTATAATTGTTTTTGATAGGATCTTGAAATTTTTTCCAAAAAAAAAAAAATACAACACAAGAAAACATAAAAAGAAAATAAATAAAAAATTATAGATTAAAAAAAAAAATTAAAAAAATTTTTGTAAATTATTTAAATTAATCATGTATACTCGTAGGAAGTCTTTAATAATATTTCAGTAAGAATTTATTGTATATAAAACTTGATCTATGTCCAAATCAAATCATATAATTTCAATAAGTTATGAGAATTCCAGTACGAAAACCGTACAGTATCACTTGAATCCTTCTAGTTCTATGGTTTCTTACCTACAACAAAAGGGCAATCTAGAATTCTCAAAACAGGATGCTTTGCTGTACCTATATTTAAAAAAAATTGCAATAATTTTATGAAAATCATTAAGAAAATTAAATTAATAATAAAATAATCAAAAAAAATGATTGTTCACAGAATTTCGTCGATCGTCGGGCCATTATTTCAGGAAATTTAATTATTAGAATGTTGAACCAAAAATTTCACTTTAAACATTAGGACGCACAAAATAATCTGGAATAGAACAATAATACAAAGTAAATTCACCTATAGCAGTACCAAACACGAAATTGTTACTATAGCAATAACAAAGTAGTTATTTTTCTTGTAATATATGGTAATTAGGGCAATCATATATTTTGCTTAGAATTTGGGATATTACTCATGAATTTGTCATCCATTTGCTTACAAATATGTTGTCACAAAAAAAACGTAGTATAGAGAAAATATTTTCTATCAATAGCTCTACCATTCATTTTAAATAAAACTTTAAAGTAAAAATTTTAATTTCATTAATCTTTCCAACATTATTCAATATTCCATAAAATTGTCAATTTATTCCAAATATTTTCAATTTTCTAACAAATGTTATGTTAGAATTTTTCTATGACTTGATTACACTATGAAATTCCTTGAACTTTTCAACTAATATATTATCTTTTAATTGAATATATTACAAAAATTTATGATTAACTTCTATGGATATTATCAAAAAATATATTTTTTTCAAAATTTCATAATTAAAGGTTCTTTATACATTTTTATTGTACAAATTTTTGTATAAAATTTGAATAATTTTGCCATTTACATAATTTTTATTTTTTCCTTAAGATACCAATACGAGTATTACACCATTATAGTTCTTATCTCTAAATATTCTATAATGTCATTACATAATAAGTATGAAGCTTTATGTGTTTTTGATTAAAGAATAAAATATCAAAAACAACAGTTCGCTTTTTATCAAATAGTTCTTAATTTATCTATGATAATAAAGTTAATATCAGTAAGATAAAAAAAAAAAACTAATTAATATGCATATCTACACATACATTTGTACTCACATATTTATGGTGACCATTTATAGAATCCCATAATTATGAGCAACAAAAAAAACTAGCTATGGTATAAAATCTATTACTTAATAGCACATTTTGTTACACAGCCAACAAAATACTTGTTTCAATATTCAAGTTTCTCTTGATTCTCTAACATAACTTAAAAAAAAAAATTTTATAACTTTGATTGATTATTATAAATTTTATTGGACAAGTATTTATGTAAATAAATTTTTTTTTTTGCCAAACCATATTAAAAAATATCAATAAAATCACCTATAATGAACAGCTTACATAATAAATTAAACAATTTAATAAGAAAATTTTTTGATTGGAAAAATTTTTTAGCACATTCCAACGTTAAAGAATTTCGTTTTTATATTGTTGTTGTAGAGTAAGAATTTCATCTAATTAGGCGTATGTAGCATAGAATTGGAATTAAACACTCTAAACTTGTATTTTAAATTCAATCATATTTGATTTTATGGTGATTAATTGAAAATATTAGAATGGCAATTGCTTAATTAAATTTTATTGTATAAAATAATTTCCACCTTTTATAAATTAATTAACTTAAGTTAACAATATTTTAGTGAAGAAGAAAATTAGACATACTGTCAAGACGTAAGAGATGATCAAGCGAATAATTATGATTTTGTTTATGCAAAATTATCTATTAAGCATAGTTTTCCTAAAAATATTCATGTAACTTTAAAAAATCATTAATATTCAAAGAAAAAGATGATATTTCTTTATGAATTTTATAATAGTTCACAATGCAATAGCTTGTACTCATTCACAATATGAAGAAGAAAACCAACAAAATTAATTTTCTCACTTACTAAATTTTCGCCCGGATTTCAAAAAAAAAAAAAAACTTGAAGACAAAACTTATTTAATTTAACAATGTAGCATAAGTGTTTTCATACAGCCTTACATTCGGCTTTACATTTGGCTTTACATTCGGCTTTTATCCGTCCATAACTAATTGAACATACCTAAAACAATTCCAATAAATTTCAATAAAACCTAAAACAGCAATAAATATCAAAAAAAATTAATTAAAAATTTAAAATTAATTGAAAAATTCAAAAATTACTCAAATTATTACTCGACTTTACCCATTCAACTTTTTATACAAAATATGCCCCTATTGGTATGCAATATAATATCAAATTTAATAATTTCATCATAATGTACACATAACCAGTTATGTACTAATAATTTTCGTACAAAATTTACAATATCCAATTAAAAACTAAATCAATTCTTTGAACAGGAAATATTTTCATATTTTAAATTACACAATATAAGTAATTTTACATAATATATATACATACATATATAAAAAATGTAGGAAATATTAAATTTCCAAATTAGAAAATACTAGCCATTTAAATCAAGTTTTAATAATTTACCGAATAATATAGTGTTAACAAATTTTAATTTATTGAGAGCATATACCGCGGCCACAAAACTTTTCCCATACACATCATAAGTAGTAATCCAAGAATTCACACGCATATTTTTTATGTACATAAATACAATTTATATTTAAATCATAAATTATTTCTTAATTAGATCCTATCCTATTTCTATATATATTCCATTACAGATATGAAAGCGCCATTCCGCACACAAATTTCTTATTTATGTTAAAACATAAAAAAAAATTCCAGTTTAATTTCTATATATTATGTATGTATATATATTTGTATATGTAAATGTTAAATTTAGGCATAATTTCAATATTCTCGAAAAAGATAAATACAAAATATACAAATATTAAATAAAAATTTTTACGATATTTATTTATGATTATCAAACAATATAACAAATAAAAAATTAATAAATATGTTGATCTATAAATTAAATTTATTAGTTCGATGAAAATTTAGGTGTATATGTAAATATAAGTATTGATATATATGGTATATATATGTGATATATATGATCTAAATATTAAATGTTAAACACCATTAATTATGTAACAATTTTATTATATTAAACTACTCTTATTTAAATAATAAAAATATTTATTTAATAACAAATGGATACGTTTCTCGTTAAATACTAGAAGCTCTCAAAAACGTCTATATATATTGTTAAATAAATCTGGAATTATTATTAATATTAATTTTTCTGATTATATTTCAGAATGTGTAAAAAAAAATTTTATAAAAGAATATTTGTTCTTAATCTAGATTAAAATTAATAATCAGTGAATTATTAATTGATTTGAGAACAATATTTAAAATTAATATAAATTAAACATAAATTTATTCTTATTATTTAAAGGTATTTGTAATCTAGATTCTAGATCTATATATATCATTAAAACGCGTGCACCTAATTAATCAAATTTAAAATTTAATTTAAAATGCTTTAATTTGGGCAATAAAAATAATTAAATATATTATTAAAAATTATTGGAATGTTGTACAACAAGCGTGTCAACAATAATAAGAAATTACTGAAAAACAAATCAAATTATTTAATGGGGGTTGAGTTGTCCTCAATTAATTTAAAATAGTTCATTCGAACATCACTTAAAATTCCTTTTTAGATCAAGATCTAGGCAGATTTGATGTTGAGATACACATACGAATTGAATTTTTTCGAGCTTATAAAAAAAATTCTAGCTAGCTAACTAGTTCGAGATCTAATTTTTTTTCTAAATAAAATTTAATATAAGAGATTATTATATAATTATATTTAAATTTTGAATTAGACAAATACTAGATTTTTATGCTATATGAAAAATTAAGATTGGTGGGTTGGGAGGCAGGCAACAGCAAAAATATAAATTTTTTTTTTCTCAATTTTTGCATATTTTTCTTATATTTTTTCATTTTTTTTTTTTATAATAATCATAAAATTTTATTGATTTGCATTAAGTATGTTTTATTAGTTTTATAGAGTCATATATTTTTTAACAAGATTATAAGCCGAAAAATAATAGAAATAGAAAAAAAAAATAGACAAAAATATAGATAAATTTTTTTTTGTCAATTTTTTTTTTAAAGTTGTTTTATAAACAAACAACTAGATATACAATAGAAAACTTGTTAAAATTTTTATAGAAGAATAGAGAAATAAAAATTTACCACAATTTTTTTTTAATATTTGAATTAAATAATTATTTTTTTTTGAAAATACTTTATTAATATAAGTTCTTATATAAAATTCTTATATAAGAAAATTAGAAGAGAAAGAGAAAAAAGAATTTTTATAATTCCAGTTCTTCACACAATATTTTTAGTAGAGTTTGATTCGTTCTCAATACATCAAATTTCACTTATTACTCTTAACATAATGAAACTTAATGTAAAAATTTTACAGCTCAAAAAATATGATTTTCATTTTTAACACTTCATAAAAACACAGCAAAATCCGCAGCAAACAAAAAAAATTTATGTCAATGCACTTCCAAGAGTAAAATATGAGAGTAAACAACTAGAAAATGAGCTAATTTTGAAGCTCCAGCTAGATTGTAGATTTCTAAATGAATCAAGTGGGGAAAGAAGACATTGATGAAAGAAATACCTTCG